GCGTCGACTATTAAATCAGTCGTCGACGATTTTGATAGTCGACGTAATCGTGACTAGTCGACTAATCGTGGCAGCCCTAATGTCAGACTGGTCTTTAACTTGTGAAATTGTGCGAGAGCTGGCTCTACGTTTCAGTTGGTGTGCCAGAAGTCTACTTGGCTTTTCACCATGCTCGTAGTAGGTAGCACGGGATCGAATCAAAAGACGTTCCACGTCAGTTGTTGTGAGGAGATCGTGTTCAGTCTTTAAATCCCGTCATTGCTTCAATAACATCTGTGATGTGCTGACGGCGACGGTCTGCGAAGGCCGCACGAGCTCGGGCTGTCTTGGCGGTACAGGCGGGGAAAACGGAGATGGTCATATTGTTCACCTTAATCCGCTGAAGCTCCCTTGCCCTCGACAGGATTTTAACACAGTCAGTGTAGTAGTGTAGCCTCGCTACAATGAGACGGGGCCACTCACCTGTTTCAGGCTTGGGGCCAGAGTACGAAACAAAACAAAACAAAACTGCTAAGCTTCTCTGCTTATTATAGACCAAGCTGCTCTGGATGAATACAGCATTCTGGATAAATTCCAGTCTGGTTTTCGCAGCGTTCACACTCCTGAAACTGCACTTCTTAAAACCTCCAGCGACATCTTGATGAGATGTGATGCAGGAGAATGTCTTGCTGATGTTGGACCTGACCTCTGCCTTTCATACTGTTGACCATCACATTTTGTTAGATAGGCTGAGACACTGGGTGGGAATATCAGGGGCTGCTTTGGACTGGTTCGAATCTTATTTGCATGAACGATCCTTCTCTGTGGCTACCTCTAACCACAGTTCTTCTTCTACTTCTCTTGCCTATGGTGTGCCACAAGGTTTTGTGTTGGGACCCTTGTTGTTTTTGTTGTATTTACTTCTTCTTCAGCACTTACTGAGCACTTTTAAAGACATTTCGTATCTCTGCTATGCAGATGATATTCAGTTATATATCTCCTTTAAGCCCCAAGATGTTTCCAAGCTACAGTTTTTGCATAGGTGCATAGACTCCATCAGAGGTTGGATGGCTGATCATTTTCTTCAACTTTATGAGGAGAAAACTGAAGTCCTCGTTTGTGCTCCCGATAAGTTTGTGCCTAGGGTTTTGGAAAATTTAGGTCCTCTTGCTTCATCCATCAACCTTGGTGTAACTTTGGACGCTCATGTTAAATCGCTTGTCAGCTTCTGTTTTTATCACTTGAGAAACATTGCGTCCTTGAGTCCCGTTGTGTCGTGCTCTGAACTGGCACGACACGCCCAGGGGCATCATCTCGTCTGGACTATTGTAATTCTTTGTTCACTTGTTTATGTAAATCCTCCTTGGAACATCTGCAGGGTGTTCAGAGCGCTGCTGCAAAGCTTCTGACCAAGACCTCCCATGTCACACCCCTGGTGATCCAGCTGCACTGGCTCCCTATTAGATTCAGAATCCACTTTAACATTATGACTCTGACATTCAGGGATCTGCATGGATGAGCACCGACATACATCAGAGATCTTTTACATCCATACATTCCCAGCAGGTCCCTGAGGTCATGTGATCAGGGCTTGCCGGTTGTCCAGCACATGAGGCTGAAAACAAAAGGAGGCTGAGCTTTGGTAACTGTGGCCCCCAGACTGTGAGATCTGTGGACTCAGTGGTCTCTTTTAAAAACAGCTTTAAACTCATCTTTTTAGACCTGCTTTTGGTTGATTTTGTCTTCATGTTTTAGCTTCTGTGATTTTATCTTGAAAGGTGCTATATAAATAAAATTTTACTTTTATTTTACTCTGTTCAGGTGAAGACCCTAAAATAGTACAGAGAAAACCTAAAAAAATCAGACAGACCACTAAGAGCAAGCACTCGGTGACAGTGGGAAGGAAAAAACCCTTTTTAACAGGAAACCTCCAGCAGCACCAGGCTCATCTACTGTGACCGGCTGGCTGTGAGGGGAGGAAGACGGGTACAAGTGAGCATCATCTGAAGATGTCTGTGCTTAGAGAGGCTGAGGAGCGCAGTCATTGGAGAGTCTCAAAGCGGTGGTTCAGCCACCAGGATGCCTGCTCAATCCCTCAAAGATGAGCTTTTTCATGTCCAACAGACGGGTGGAGGACAGAGGAGTGATGGATGGAGTTTGAGCTGAAAACACCTGATTCGCTCTGTGAGACAACGGCAGAAGAAACATGAAGCAGACTAACAGACTCATCTGTTGTTGCCATGACTGACAGAAAGCATCCACCTGGTCAAAGTGAGAGGCTTCTGTGAGAAGTGGAGGAAAACAGAAGCTTCCAAAACTTACGCGCTGTAGGTCAGCGCTCGGTCAGTCTGGAGGCAGCAGCTGCTTTCTGTTTCCTAATCAATGACCTCAGCGTGAAGCAGCCTGCAGCGCCGAACCTCCTCATCAGCATCATCATCATCATCCCCTTGTCTTTTTAAACTCAGGGACATGACTTCAGACTGTGATTAAAAAAAACGAACAAAGCCTTCAAGCAGAAAGGAGCGAGGAGACGACAGGACGAAGGACGGACGGTTAGAGATCAGCGTTTATTAGAGCTGAGAGCAGAAACAATAATATTAAAAACACTGACAGAACGACATCTGAGACAAAAACACACCTGAGCATTTACCTGAGCGGCACGTTCTGCTCATTTCCTCCACAGCAGCTTTGCATCACTTACAGTTCAAAATAATCCCTCAGTGACTGCATGCAGCAGCCTTTACATGTAAATCCACGGCTGAGAGCAAAGAGACTGGAAACACGCCCACCGGTCCCAGAGCGGCTGGTTTAGATTCAGGATCAGGAGCAAATGTTCCCGGGCCTGAACGAAAGCTTCTTCTCGGGGGTTCAAAGGTTAAGGCAGTCTGAGGGTGGTGGCCCCTCCCCCTTTAGAGACAACTTTCTTCTGATTGGTTGCCAGCAGGTGGGTGGGGCTTCAGTGTCGCGCTGCGGCCCCACTCTGGATGTAAAAGCGGGGACATGAATCTGAGGTGACCGAAAACATCAGTTTAAAACCGTTTCAGATCTTTTATTAACAAATGTCAATTTAAGACTTTCTCAGGACCCAAAAGCAGCTGAGACAGGGCGGGAAAAAATTAACATCTAAAACAAGAGTGTTAGGAGCGTGCGAGTTATTAATCTGTCCGCAACGATAAAAACAAAACCGTTCTACTCGTTCCAGGTAAAAAGAAGTTAGCTTGGTTTCAGCCCGTGAGCACAGCGCACGCCACGGGCTGACGTGTGCACGCCACGGGCTGACGTGTGCACGCCACGGGCTGACGTGTGCACGCGTGACCGATGAGCCGTTCGGCCTCGCTTCGTTTTGGCGTGTCGGCTGTGAAATGGTTCCACGTTTCCCTTTGTTCACACAGGTTTTACACAGAAAAGCTTAAAGGTGGTAGAACGTCCATGTTCTCCTCCCTGGTTAATATTCTTCAGGGTTATCATAGATCACAACAACGTAATGTCACTTCCCTTTGGTCCAACCAACAAATAGCTTAAAGACTTTTGTCAAACAGCCGTCTGTCCAATCAAAGCTGGATGTGTGACGCGTCTCCATGACAACGTGACCTGGTCGCGGGTTTGCCTCACATGTCACTCCAGAGGACGGCTCGCTTGCTCTTGTCCACGCTGACGAAGTATTCGCCGGACAGAGACCAGGACACGGCGCTGATGGACGAGCTGAAAGAGAGCAGGCTGTTAAAGGGACAGTGGACACTTTCTCTGTGGTTAAACACACGCCGGCTCTCTCAAGGCGCCATCGCAGGCCCTTAAACTTCATGGAGATTTACACACACAGCAACACACAAGTCACTCTGGAGGAGTCTGTAGCCCTGCAGCCTCACACTAGCCTATCATCAGGAACACTGTAGTCTGTGGATTACGGCAAAGACTAAGAGTGAAGCTGAACTAGCAGCATTTGGAGTCCCACAGGGAGCTGAGCTGGAGCCTCTGATCTTTAGGACCCTGCACTGGCAGTGACTGTGCTGATCAGCTGACTCAGGTCTTCGGTGTTACCTGTGTTTGTCGGGTAGCCGGGTCTCCAACTTGCCCGTCGAGACATTCCAGATGTAAACTGCGCCGTCTGCAGAGCCGGCCGCCAAATAGCAGCAGTCTGGACTGAAGAGAGAGAACATCTGGGTGAAACAGCTGTTCTGACGTGAAACTTCCTGCTGCTGTGAGCAATTTGCTCCACGATTCTCTACATCTGCAGAGCCGAGAACTCCCAGCTGGGACACCGAAGAGGGATTTACACTTGTCTCACCATTACGCTGCAACCACAAACCCTCTGAACCCTACGCTGTGACCTGATGTGCCCCACAAATGCAACATGCTGCACTCATGCTGCTCGCAACAACCCAATGTTCAACACAATAGTTTTCCCATATGTAAACTGGTTCTTAGACTGGAGGACAGCTGGAAGAGAGTTCAGAGAGACGCCAGCGCCAACTAGTGTTTTGGTGGAGCAGCACAGGTAAATTGCAAATATATCATTGGTCCATTGGCCGTCCGACTGCGGTCTGGAGTGTGGGGCCTTCCTGCTGCTGTGGAGTCGGGGCGGTCTGTCTCTCCCCACCGCAGGGAAAAGGGTAACACCACCTGGGTCTGGGTGCAGTTCCCCCCTCCAGGGGCAAGGGTACCTAGACCCGGTTTGTAGAGTACGCTTGGGGAGTGTGATCGTGTGTACAGCGTC